GACAAAAAAAATTTAAGCTGAATTAAATAAGTCCTCTTCACATTTCAAAAAGATCAAAATAAAAAAACATACATATATAGAAGACACTTGTTACATTCCCATAACCGCATAACTGTTTAATTAAAAGTCATTATTACCTAATTTAAATTCTTATGCCATCTATAAGGAGCGCTGTTTTTTGGCAGTGCATCACAATCAGCAGACTGGTAACAATGAATGAAACACTGGTGAAGAAATCGTGGTGCAGATTTATGTCGTAATACGAGAAGACAATAGTATTTTTCTAACAACTGTTTAACCGAACTACTGATGGTGAGAAATGCCAATGAGATAAGACAAATATACACCGAATCTGTGCTAACCTGCTGAATTGAAACTGTCCTTAGAAACAACGCGGAGAATAAGGCATGACTTCTTTAGCGAAAGAGCTTTTCACACAAGCGATTGGAGGGTAGACTCTGATGAGCACCCAACATAACAAAGTCTTCAGAACCGTCGCTTTACTGAAAACAGAAAGCGTTTAGTTCACAGTCCCCATCGGTTACTTTCCTTATTTCGTTTTGGTTTTCGTAGCGGAAAGAGATCTGCAGTTGGCGGAATTCCAACTTAGCATATGAGTTTGGAGTAATTAACGAGCAGTTGAGTCGTTTTTTTTTTCATTTTTTGGTGTGAGGAAATTGAGTAATATGCAGCCCGTACAAATAATATTTTTTTGGAGGTTACACGTAACCGAACCATTATTCTAGTTACTTAGATATAGTCCTGATAATTTGATTGTCTTTCATTGTTTAATTTTTTTTTGAACTGAATATTCACGTGAAATGTCAGTCCCGAACTTTACTCAACTAATAATTTCGAATTACAGCTACGAGCGTTTTCCGCTGAAAAGATAGCCTGCCTTCAGATGAAGTCTGAAAAACACAAAAAAATCAAGACAAGAATAGGAAAATCGTACCGGAAACGTAAATGGCCTTTATCAGATCTTTTTTGAGGATTTCAAGATTCTTCGTTATGCATTTTACAGATCTTTTCAAAATTATCAAGTCATGCTTCCACTTTTTCATGGACTACATGCTCTTAATCCTCCATTTTCATGTGTGCTTCTGTATGCTGAACTTAGGGTAAATCATGTTCAGGTAAATTAGAAGAGAAATCGCTAAAAGAACGAAAGCTCTTGAAACAGTTGGCGTCGGTGGAGCCAGAGAATGTTGAGCATAACACCGAACTTATAGGCAATCAAAGTTTGTGTCTTGCGTATATTAATTATCATAGGAGTTCACTACACTTGTCATGCCACATGAATAATTTTCTTTGGGGATTTCAGAAAGGTTTTACAGTTTAAGTATTGCGCTTCCTGGTTCAATATTAAACAATGCTCAGAGTCAAGAACTCCGCATGTATTTGGCAGGACAGGTTAGCCTTCATAGTTCACATTTTTTGTTTAACAGTTCTGTGGCTTGGGTAGAAGTGGTTGAGTGAAATTCTTGGTCTTAT